CAATATCACTCACATTGTTTAAATTCATTCATAACCTCAGCTTCTTCAGATCTAATACAGTACAGTGGAGTCTAGGATAATTTGCAGGTTAGGTACCAGAATACATCATGAATTACCAATTTGTGAATTATACCCTGTACCTGTAGTTTGATTTAAATGGAAATAATTACTAATTTGGTTCCAGAGCCCAAGATCTACCCATAAATTGTTCCAAAACTGCTTTAATAAACACTAAACATCATAGTATAGATACTGTACAAAAGGTAGTCCTATATTCAAAGGTAGTAGTTGCGCTGCACATTTCTCCAGAGAGTTTGAACTGGTTGGGCGCAACTTTTGCAAGATTTTCGCTTAATGCGCAAATTTTTCTGCAATAATTGAAAATTGAATATGATTGCATAAACAAACGGGCATCCCTAGGATATTTAAAATTTCTGTTCGGACGGAAAGATTCAGTCACACATGATACAGGTCGGGCAGCATTATTTCTGAACTGTAAACCAGATGAGACCCCCAACGTCTCACGACTTCACCCTTCTCGCTTACAGATTTCATTTCACATAAACTCTAGAAACTGGAGTTAATGTGAAAGATGAAACTATAACTAGAGAGGGAAGAGAGGAGGAATGATTCATCATAACCAGTCAGGCCACTGCAGTTAAGGCCAGTTTTGTTGTTTGTTTCTTGTTGTTACTAGTATTATGGATCGCTTTTGTGACTAGGAAGATGAGTCTGTGGCGGCAGCAGTGATCCCGCCGACTGGTGACATGGACACGGAAGGAAGTGACTGAGACTGTTGACAGCCAGTCCACTGAGACTGAGGCCAGTGGCAGTTAGGCATTTTTTTAATTTTGTAATAAAATATTGATAATATTAACTTTTTTGTATCAATTATACAGTATTTTGTTTTACTTGTAAATGCTGTATGAAATATTTTTATTTTAGTATTTTTTATTTTATTTTAAAGTTGTGAGTTATGTGAAACTTTTTGAAATGGTTATGTGCAACTATTTCAGCAGGGTTATGGCAAGAAAAAAGGCGCTGTGGCCAATTTTGCCTATATTTACACAAACAGTTCCTTCTCATAATTTTGGGGTTACGCCTAATACACCAACATTGAGACAGCAGGTGGCTGGCTGGTTGTGACTTCATTATCAAAAAACAAAACAAAACCCCCAGGAAATTAATACCTGTACATCACAATAACTCATCTGGGGTTGAGTTTGGGATTTATTTTGTGTTTAAATATATTTACTACTTTTCATTTTTATTATTTTATACAGTAATTTTATGTTAAATTTTCATTATCTATAAGTCACATTAGAGTATTGAAGTGATATTCATATTATATTTTCTTTTATTTCAAGGAAATTAGAGCAATGAAATGAAATTTCCACAACTTATACAGTGAACCCTCAATTTACGCTGTCAATTGAACCCACGGAGGCTCATGAAAGTGAGAAACGCGCAAAGTGAACAACATAACATATGGGATTAATTGAAATAGAGACCGGGCCACCCCCAAACCCACTTTTTCCGACACAATACCTATGTTCTAGTAAAATAACATCTTAATTTTATGATGGTACATGCAAACAATTAATTTAAGAGAAATAGAGAAATACAGTAGCTGTTAATGTCCATTCAAATAATGGACTCAACTCCTCCCCTCTTCTCACACTACACTGCTGGCTCTTCCTCTCTGAGAAATTTTGGGGAAAACCACTAAATTTTAATAAATAATACCTCAAACTTAAGTTAGGATAATATAATTGACATTGCTGGATTCCTTTGTAAGACCAGGAATATTTTGAATATAAATGTCATATATTTTGCACAAAATGATAACATATTTACTCAGAGTAAAAAAAAATACTTATATTAGATCTAAAATTTGTATGTTTAATGCAAAATCTATGATGTTTATATTCAAAATGATCATCAAATTGTAAGAATTCCAGCAATGTAAATTATATTCTGGCAGGGTAATTTGTATGAATTTTATGAGCTAAAACAAATATCTTCAGTTAATAATAAAAAAAAATATTCTTCACTCTATTATCTGTCAATCAAAATAACCCACCTTGCTTCCTCTTCCCACCATGCCAGCTGTGCGGTCAGTCCCTCCCTCCCCCCCACCTTCCCTCCCTACCAGAGAAATGTTTGAGAAACCAGAATATTTACTTTTTAGTAATAAATACTAGACTAGATATTTTAATAAAGATAACATATTTACTCAGAGTAAAAACAAAATACTTTATAGATCTAAAATTTAATGCAAAAATCTATGATGTTTATATTCAATGATCATCAAATTGTAAGAATTCCGCAATGTAAATTATATTCTAGCAGATTTGTATGAAGAAAAACAAATATCTTCCATAAATAAAAAAATATACTAACTAAATACTATCTGTCAATCAAAAACCCCACCTCCTCTCCCACCTGCTCCCTGGGTCCCTCCTTACCCATACCCCTCACCCCCACCTTCCTCCCTACCAGAGAATGTTTGGGTTATAACAGTATATTTACATTTTTAGTAATAAATAATACCTCAGACTAAAGTTAGGATAATATAATTGACATTGCGGATTCCTTGCAAGACCAGGAATATTTAATATACAGTCATATATTTTGCAAAAGATAAATATTTGCTCTGAGTAACAAATACTTGCATTAGATCTAAAATTTGTATGTCTAATGCAAAATCTATGATGCTTATATTCAAAAAGATCATCATATTGTAAGAATTCCAGCAATGTAAATTATATTCTGGCCGGTAATTTGTATGAATTTTTATGAGCTAAATAAAAATTATACTTCACTGGTATATGAGTAGATGCACTGCGTAGTGGGAATTCGGTTCTGGCAGGGTACCGCGAAAATGTAGAAACGCGTAGTGTAGTAGAACGCCAGAAAGTGAAACCACAGAATGTGAATGTGGAACCGCGAAAGTGAGGGTTCACTGTATACTGTACAGTAATACCCCGCTTAACACGGTTTCGCTTAGCGCGATTTCACGTATACGCGGTGCCTTGCCAGAGCTGAACTTTCACTTAACGCGGGTTTTTTCCACGTATACGCGCAGAGTGTCCGGCTCGAGACGCTATTTTTAGACTCGCCCCACCCGCCACCCCGCCTGACTGCCTGCCTGCCTGTTTTAGCTCATAAAATTCATACAAATTACCCAGCCAGAATATAATTTACATTGCTGGAATTCTTACAATATGATGATCATTTTGAATATAAACATCATAGATTTTGCATTAGACATACAAATTTTAGATATAATGTTTACTCTGAGTAAATATGTTATTTTTTGTGCAAAATATATGACATTTGTATTCAAAATATTCCTGGTCTTACAAGGAATCCAGCAATGTCAATTATATTATCCTAACTTTAGTTTGAGGTATTATTTATTACTAAAAAGGTAAATATTCTGGTTTTCCCACACATCTGGTAGGGAGGGACCGACCGACCATCTGTTACCGTGTGAAGAATATTTTTTTTTTTATTAACTGAAGATATTTGTTTTAGCTCATAAAATTCATACAAATTACCCGGTCAGAATATAATTTACATTGCTGGAATTCTTATAATTTGATGATCATTTTGAATATAAACATCATAGATTTTGCATTAGACATACAAATTTTAGATGTAATGTTTACTCTGAGTAAATATGTTATCTTTTGTGCAAAATATATGACATTTATATTCAAAATATTCCTGGTCTTACAAGGAATCCAGCAATGTCAATTATATTATCCTAACTTTAATCTGAGGTATTATTTAATACTAAATGTTAAAATTTAGTTTTTTCACCCAACATCTCTTGAAGGGAGGATTGGTGGGGGGTGGGGGGGAGGGTTGGGACGGACCGACCACCTGGCGGTTGGAAGAGGGGGGGAGGCAAGGTGGGGTACTTTGATTGACAGATAGTGTCGTGAAGAATATTTTTTTTTTTTATTAACTGAAGATATTTGTTTTAGCTCATAAAATTCATACAAATTACCCGGTCCAGAATATAATTTACATTGCTGGAATTCTTACAATTTGATGATCATTTTGAATATAAACATCATAGATTTTGCATTAGACATACAAATTTTAGATATTAATGTTTACTCTGAGTAAATATGTTATCTTTTGTGCAAAATATATGACATTTGTATTCAAAATATTCCTGGTCTTACAAGGAATCCAGCAATGTCAATTATATTATCCTAACTTTAGTTTGAGGTATTATTTATTAAAATTTAGTGGTTTTCCCCCCAAAATTTCTCAGAGAGGGAAGAGCCAGTGAGTGTAGTGTGAGAAGAGGGGGAGGGAGTTGAGTCCATTATTTGAATGGACATTAACTTGGCCACTGTATTTCTCTATTTCTCTTAAGCATTAATTGTGTGCATGTACCATCATAAAATTAAGATGTCATTTTTACTAGAACATAGGTATTGTGTCGGAAAAAGTAGAGTTTGGGGGTCCGGCCAGTCTCTATTGGAATTAATCCCATATGTTCTGTTGTTCACTTAACGCAATTTTCACTTAACACGGTACCCTGTGGGTTCAATTGACCGCGTTAAGCGGGGTACTACTGTATTTGAATATTTGACCGTAAAATTTAAAAAAGGGAGTAATAGAAGTACAGCAACTGCGAATTTAAGAACACGAAATTGTATTTCACGAATTATTGCGACTCCACTGTACTGTACATCTTTCTCTGCTTTCTTCCATTTAATTCCTTCAAACAATATGTACAGACCTCCTTGTTCACCTGACTATAAACTTTTTCCACATCAACAGAGGCTATATACTGCACACATTTCAGGATTTTATAAGATGGAAAACAAAAGTGTTAAAGCATAAGACGAAGAAAGACTGACAACAAATAAAACTGCAGTAAAGAAGAAAGACAAAGATGACTGGAGAGGAGTGAACTGGTGTATGAGAATATTCAAATTAATTTGTTTAAAACCAAACTATATTATGTGACATACCTGAAGAGTTAAAGTTTCCTTTGAGTTTTCCAGCTGCCCTTTGAACCCAGTGATGTTTGCATAATTTTTCTTCTTCTTTGGCTGCATATGATGGAAATTTTCCTTGTTGTTATGATGCACATCAAACCTTACAGGGTTTTTGTAGAGTTTATCAATCATTCTTTGCCTGTCATTAGTTTTTCCACAACCAGTTTCTATCATTGCTTTGTTCTTTCTTCTAGGCATCTCAGTTTCAGATCTTAAGTCGCCAATGCTATTACTATTATCTAAGGGTTTTTGACTGTCGTATACATATGTTGCCTGATTTTTATTATCGTTTCTCAGGGTATCTGAACCTTCACTCCGAGCCGATGATGTACCAATGGGTGGTTCAAGTATCTTGTTAACTCTATTAAATTTCCTGAGACTTCCTGAGATAGATTTGGATGTCAATTTTATCTGCTTTCCAACTCCTTCACTGTAAGAACCAGGAGATATTATGAACACTGGTGGTCCGTTGTGTTCTAATTGTGTGCTCTCTATGGCTCTCTCTCCAGTATGTTCATTTACTGGTGACATAATGCTTCCTTGATCTGTAGTAAGTCTGTGTCCTTCACCTTGTGACTCAGGCCTTGATGAATGGTGAGTTACCTGATTTTGAGCATGCCATTCATCACCATCATCATGTTGTCTTGGAGTCAGGACTGTTCTAGCACTGCCAGTATATTGATGCTCTTTTACAGGAATTGTTTTGGATGCAGATTCACTGCTACACCCATCAATGTACCCTGTTCTGTTTCTTGCAGACTCTTCCTGTGATGATGTACTTTCACTAGAGAAATGATATTCACTTCTTGCTGACTCTGGTCTTGAGGAATCTTCATCTCCATCATTACCCATCAATTTATTTTCACTTGTAGATCCTGAATTAGATGATGATTGTGTTTCAAATTCCTCAGTGACACTGTTTACACTTCTTGCCGACCTTGGCATTGATGATGTCACACTTCTGCCTTCTTTTACATGTCTCATTGACCCCGACCTAGAAGAGACTACAGCTCTTTCGTCTCTTTTATACCTATTTTCATATCTTCCCGAGCCTGGTCTGGGTGATGTCCCTGGTTTGTGCTCCCTTGGATGCCTCTTTTCATCTCTTGCAGACCCTACTCTTGATGAAGAGGCACTTTGATGACCTTTTGTTGGATTCCTTCTATTCCTTTCTGTCTTTGGTTTAGTTGTGGTTTCAATGCCCCTTCTGTGACCTCTTTCCTTTTTTCTAACATTTGCCCAAGAAGAGCCACTATTTTTTCCGTCAAATTGTTTGTTATCTGATGCAGTAGGCTTGTCAATCAGTTTTCTAGAGGATCTATTTCCATCCTTTCCTGAGCCTGGTCTTGGTGATTGCTTCTTGCTTTGCTTACTGGTTGTTACATAATTGTTTCTGCTTGACATAACCTCTGAAGGTTTATCCATATCTTTATCTCTACCTGACCCTGGCCTTGAAGTCCTTTTGGTTCTAGATAAAGCACTACTCACACTTACATAATTTCTCTCACTGACAGTAGCAGAACTTGGTAAGGAAGAACAGCTTACCTTTGATTTCCTTGCACTTCTATCTAAATATAATAATGAATCACCAGTTTGTACACCAATACTGTGACCAAAAAGATCACTCTCTGATTTGCCTTCACCCTCACTATACAAAACATTTTCTGTGCTTGGAAACATTTGACCAAAATCTTTGGATAGTTTAATTCTTAATGGGTCTTTTTGCCTTTGTCCATTTCTATCTCTTCCTGGAGGAGGCTGAGGAGAAGAAGTCCTGGCATCATCCCCCTTTGGTACCAAAGAAGAAACTTTAATGGCTTGATTTCTGTCTCTTGCCTCTCGTCCATCACCCTGTCTTGATATCTGACTGTCAGAGATGGCCCTGTCAGTAAGTTCTTCCTCGGATATAACAAATGCTTGAGTCAGCTGCCTATTTGAATTCCTATTGCTTGGTATTCCCTTGTTATCCAACATTGTATATTCTTTTGATATCCTACCCTTTACTAATAAATTGCTGTCCAAATTATTATCAGATATACTCCTTCTATTGGCAAGCTGAGATTGAACAGGATCCTCTTCTCCCCGGGGCTCTTCCCGACGCATTTTCATGATGGCATCCTGAAAATTTTGTTCTCCTCTTGATGGTGCCTGGGGACGTAACCTTGAATTCTTCATTATGTTTCGTGACTTCTCTTCAGTCACTGCCAACTTCCTGACCTCTTCCTCTATTTGCTTCAGGGTTGAAGTTTGGGAATTGGTTAAATCTGAACTCAACTGACTCAGTGTAACTCTTGGAGATGGTGTGTGTGATTGACCCATTAATGAATGTCCTGTTGTTGACTTGATGCTCTCAATAGACAGAGAAGGACTTTCTTGACCCACTGGCTTACTTTCAATCACTTTATTCTTAGAAACTCGTCCCTTTCGACAGAACTGGTAAGGCTGCTTCTGTGTTGTCTCATCACTATAGGCACTGGATATAATGCTGCTCGTTGCTGTTTCTGCAATGTAAATAACTTTATAATTTAATCAGGATAACAAAATAAATATTATTTTATCAGAAAAATATTATTCTTTTAACTGTTAAAAAATACACAATTAATTGAATAAAATGGTTGAAGAAGATAATGCATCCTTTACCACCTCAAGCTGTAAAGAAATATCATACATGATACTGATGTACTCAGCTAACCTTGGACAGAGGCAACCATTTTCAAGAATACAGTTTAGTGTCCGTATAATGATAAAGCAACACATATAAGTGAGTTTCTTCTGGCGTGTGGAATAAGCTCAACATTTGAACAAAATTTAAATGTTCTTGGGAGGGTCCAATGGCTGAGATGTATGTGGAAATCTTGGACAAAAAGCTTTTCATTAAACACACATATAAAACAGACTCACTAACTGCTATACAGTATACTGTAACATTTACACCCAAAGAATTTTATTAAACCATAAGAAGGGAAATTAAAAAATATAATTAATTTACATCCTTAAGTTCAGGGTAAAACACAGGGCATACAAGTCTTAAACACTGACTGAATACGTTACACACAATACAGTATTCACCTTGACCACAATGCTGATCTGTCAATGACACTTGTTTCTGATTTCTCTTTTCTTGTCATTTGCAGTCCATTTTTATTGAGCAAGGTGTCAGTTCTTTGGCAGATTTCATTAATACACTCACAGACATGCTTAGATCTATCAATTAATCTATGCGTCTGTTGTGTGACTGTACAGTAGCTTTTTTACAGGCTCTTTAGATGGATTATATGCCTGGCCAAGTAGGTCCAACAGTGCATCTTAGATGTTCATAATTTTAACTGTACAGTACAGCATTATTGTATACAGTATATTGTCAGCACATCCAGTATTATTGTACTGTATATGTACAGTATATTGTCAGCACCCAACACTTGTCATATACAGGTATTGTGTTGGCATCATCTTAATAAATCTATCCAGGCATCTTTCTTATGTCTTCATTATATTGCCCACCAATTTTTTGAATTCTTATAATATAAAATATATCACTACTTTGTTACAGCACAGTTCTGTTACTGGAGGCTAACCGCAATATGAATTTTCCATAGACCGGAAGTGACCCTTCTATAGATAATCATTGAACACACACATAGTACAGTAGAACGTCGATTAAAAGGCGATTCAATTTAAAATTATTGATTTAAAGCGACACCCACAATTAAGGACAATGCATTAATTTAAAGCAAATCTGTTCTATTTTACGAGAGTCAATCTGGCACATCATATGGAAATACACACTATTTTAAATTTCGCACCTAATGTTTCCCACCAGACGCCTCTCTGGGCACGCGACACGGCTGCCCACCACCCTCTCACACCCTTCCACATCCTCAGTTCTCACACGGAGGCTCTAGTGAACGGACATATTGTGTGACACTATCTCCTTCTACCATGTGCATCAACCATCGCCACTATGTCCAAGAGGCCAGCTACTCTGTCATTAACTACCCCAAAGACCAAGAAATCAAGGCAAGCAATTACACTGGAGTAGAAAAACAAGGTGCTGGAAGCACTGCAGCGTGGAAATGGTGTTTCCCATGTGTCAGATGCGTCCACAGCCACAGCACTAGACAGTGATGTGGATGATGAGCTGGTCGAGTTGGGCTCTGCATCTTCAGAGGATGAATTGTCCAACTAAAGTTGAGTGAAAATCACTTTTTGATAGCATAAAGTAATTAAAAAATAAGTTGAGAGGAAAGTGATGGTATGCACACACAATTAATATTTAAGAGAAATACAGTCGCCAGGTTAATGTCCATTCAAATAATGGACTCAACTTCCCCCACCTCTCTCTTCCCAAGCTTGCTGGCTCCTCCTTCTCTGAGAAATGTTTGGGTGAAAACACTATATTTTAAGGTATAATAATAAATAATACCTCAGACTAAAGTTAGGAAAATATAATTGACATTTCTGGATTCCTTGCAGGTCAGAGAATATTTTGAATGTAAACTTCATATATTTTGCACAAAAGATAAAATATTTGCTTTGTGTAAACCAAATTATTACATTAGATCTAAAATATGTATGTCTAATGCAAAATCCATGATGTTTATATTCAAAATGATCATCATATTGTAAGAATTCCAGCAATGTAAATTATATTCTGGCCGGGTAATTTGTATGAATTTTATGAGCTAAATAAATAAATTATACTTCACCCGCGTATATGAGTAGATGCACCGCGTAAAATGAAATTCCGGTTCTGGCGAGGTACCGCGTAAATGTAGAATCGCGTAAAGCGAAACCTCGTAAATTGGGGTATTACTGTACATAAAAAAATACAGTAACACATCGATACTGTACAAAAAGTAGTTTAGTTACATAAACAGCTCCTTCTCTTCTCATAATTTTGTGTGGGTTATGCCAATACACCAACATGGAGACAGGGAGGTACCAGACTGGCTGTGACCTCATTATGTCAGCAAAGAATTTTATACAACACAATAACTCATCTGAGGTTGAGTTTGGGATTTTTGTGTGAAAATTTATTACTGTACTGTACAGTTTTTCCCGCCTAACGCGGTTTCACTTAACGCGTTTTCGCATATACGCGGTGCCTTGCCAAAGCTGAACTTTCACTTAACGCGGATTTTTTCCACATATACGCGGTGAGTGTCCGAGACGCTATTTTTAGATTTGCCCCACCCGCCACCCTGCCTGACTGCCTGTTTTAGCTCATAAAATTCATACAAATTACCAGGCCAGAATATAATTTACATTGCTGGAATTCTTATAATTTGGTGATCATTTTGAATATAAACATCATATATTTTGCTTTAAACTTACAATTTTTAGATAAAAAATTTTTCTCTAGGTAACTATGGTATCTTTTGTGCAAAATATATGACATTTATATTCAAAATATTCCTGGTCTTACAAGGAATCCAGCAATGTCAATTATATTATCCTAACTTTAGTTTGAGGTATTATTTATTAAAATTTAGTGGTTATCCCACACATCTCCTTGGGACGGTTGGTGGGGGGTGGGGGGGAGGGAGGGACCGACCGACCATCTGTTACCCTGTGAAGAATTATTTTTTTTTTTATTAACTGAAGATATTTGTTTTAGCTCATAAAATTCATACAAATTACCCGGTCAGAATATAATTTACATTGCTGGAATTCTTATAATTTGGTGATCATTTTGAATATAAACATCATATATTTTGCTTTAAACTTAAAATTTTTAGATAAAAATTTTTCTCTAGGTAACTATGGTATCTTTTGTCCAAAATATATGACATTTATATTCAAAATATTCCTGGTCTTACAAGGAATCCAGCAATGTCAATTATATTATCCTAACTTTAATCTGAGGTATTATTTAATACTAAATGTTAAAAACTCTGGAAGGGAGGATTGGTGGGGGGTGGGGGGGAGGGTTGGGACTGACCGCGCGGTTGGAAGAGGGGGGGAGGCAAGGTGGGGTACTTTGATTGACAGATAGTGTCGTGAAGATTATTTTTTTTTTATTAACTGAAGATATTTGTTTTAGCTCATAAAATTCATACAAATTACCCGGTCAGAATATAATTTACATTGCTGGAATTCTTATAATTTGGTGATCATTTTGAATATAAACATCATATATTTTGCTTTAAACTTACAATTTTTAGATAAAAATTTTTCTCTAGGTAACTATGTTATCTTTTGTGCAAAATATATGACATTTATATTCAAAATATTCCTGGTCTTACAAGGAATCCAGCAATGTCAATTATATTTTCCTAACTTTAGTTTGAGGTTATCCCACACATCTCCTTGGGACGGTTGGTGGGGGGTGGGGGGGGGAGGGAGGGACCGACCGACCATCTGTTAGCCGGCTGTGTAGTGTGAGAGGGGGAGGGAGTTGAGTCCATTATTTGAATGGACATTAACTTGGCGACTGTATTTCTCTATTTCTCTTAAGTATTAATTGTGTGCATGTACCATCATAAAATTAAGATGTTATTTTTACTACAACATAGGTATGTGCCTTCAAAAAGTGGAGTTTGGGGGTCGGGCCGGTTTCTATTGGAATTAATCCCATATGTTCTGTTGTTCACTTAACGCGGATTTCACTTAACGCGGGACCCTCTGGGTTCAATTGACCGCGTTAAGTGGGGTACAACTGTACTTTACGATAATGTTTTAATAATCGAGGACCAAATGAACCTAAATACCATAATACAGTATAGGAATTATGGTGAAATTGCATAATGTTGTATTAAAGAGGTCAGAGGTGTGCACACAGCTTGGGAATGGGGGTGGGGGATGCTCAGTCCACTAGCCAACTGCTCCGCCTCCCATAAACAATTCATTCACTTTTCATTTTTCTTATTCTATAGTTTTATATTATATTTCCTTTATTTATAAGTCACAATGGAGCACTATAGTGATATTATATTATATTTTCTTATTTCCAAGGCAAATTAGAGCAATGAAATGATATTTCCACAACTTTTACGGTTTCTTATGTAAACAAATCTGCGGGAGTTGGTGCTCAGCCACGAATTATGAAAATTTGACACAGTAAAATTAACAAAAGAGGTATAGTAGGTAGTAATAGATACAGTACCCACAAATTTAAGAACACAACTTTGCATTTCAAGAATTAAACTCCACTGTACCGTAAACCTCAATAACAAAAGCACATAAAAAGTATTAATGAAAGCATAAAGTTAGTGTTCAAACTGCATCACAGTCGTTCCTGGTTCTTACCTTAGAATCCTTAGCAATGGTGCTGCACCATGGACCCTCTGACCTCCACACACTCACCATACAGGTTCAAGGTGAAAGGCTGTAGATACTTAAAACTTTATACCTAATGATAATTATTTATTTATTTATTTTTGCAGTTGCTGTATGTAGGATTGTGTACAGTATATAACGGAGTAAAAAAAAAAATACTGTATCTACCGGAAATCACGAGTTAAAATACTATATACCTTATGATAATTACTGGTTATTTCTTTTATTATTTTAATTTTTGAACTTTCTGTATGTAAGATTGAGTGTACGAGGTGTGATCCAAAAGTTCCCATACTGGCTTCATAAAACCTTTCACTTTGCAGATATCGAATTTGAATCATCAGCAGTTACTCACCTCGGGTATAAGTTGTTTACTGCATCGATTTGGCGGGAATCTGTGTCACCAACCGGCCATAGTGCAGCTTTGTGCGAGTGTGTGTACTGGCCCATCTGCTACGTCACATCAGTCGACACTCAGCCCTCAACATGGAGGGAAGTATTGAGCAAAGCTGCGCTATCAGATTTTGCCTCAGACTAGGAAAAAATTATGTAGAAACCCATGAAAAGATCAAGGAAGCCTACAAAGATGAAGCAATGTCCAGGGCTCATGTTTTAGGTGGCACAAGCACTTCAAACAAGGGTGCACCTCCTGTGAAAATGAGCAACATTCTGGGTGGCCTTCCATTGAGAAAAATTATGAAAATGTCCAAAAAAATGACCAGCTTTTTCATGAAGATCGTAGAGTGACCATCTGCAAGATTGCCGAGTGATTGACTTCTCATATGGAAATGTTGACTGGATTCTGACTGATGACTAGCAATTGGCTCCTTCACCAGGACAACGCACCTGTGCACACTGCCCTCACTGTGGACGATTTTCTGGCGAAGCGTGGCATCCCAGTGGTCCCCCACCCCCCATACTCTCCCTGTGACTTCTAGCTGTTTCAGAATAACCATAACATAACATACAGCTCACAGGTGGAGTATGGTTGGAAACATCCCCGTTCGGCCCAGGAATTACTTGGCGATCATTTTAAATACGACTTATGGGAGAGTATCCGTAAAGTTGGAAATCTCTAATCCAAGTCATCCGTAACGTGGGGAGTGTCTGCATTGTAATTTCTTTGGGGTGATAAATTTCTTAAATTATATAATGGGTTCCAATGGGAAAACTGATTTTGTCTCACATAATTGAATGTTATGGATAAATTTTCAAGAACGTATCCCTTATATAATGTACTACTATACTAGTCTGGGTAGATACATGTATACCTCGTTAAATCATTGAGTAAAAACATGATACTGTATTTCTGCCAAACAAAGATTATCTCATATATCAAGCATTACTCACCTGACTGACCCAGAATGTCTCGTGTTTGAGATTTGCCATTCGTGTCTGACTCTGTGTGCGAGCGGCCTTCTGTCACATGTCTCCTGAAGCTGTTCTCTGACCCAACACTATCTCCTAACTGCTCCAGCAAGGCTCTTGAAATAGTAAAGTAATTAATGAGATGCAGCATCTAACAACACCAGAACTAGGATGTTGTAAGCAAGCAAGTCTAGTAATGACACTGGGAGAACAATGCCAGTTTCTTTCTACATACAATACAAACAATTCAGATAAAAAGAATACAGCAATACAGTAATAAAATCATGTGGTACAATGTAAAAATACAGGAAAATAAAAAAATATGTTAAGTTACACGGGAGACATGAATAAAAGAGAGTAACATAAGCTATAAGACAACATCCAATGTGATGAGATATGAATGATCCACTGAATATGAATACAATACTATATAGAGTTCATATGGAAGAGGAGGGATAACATTAACTTCACTGGTTAAAACAATACATGACTGACTCACAGACTAAAAATGTAATGATAAGATAAAAGGGAATAAGAACCATCAGTGCTCACCTCTCCAGTTTCTCAAGAGTATGGATGTGACGCTGTATTTTTCGCACATAAAGTTGCTTCTGTACCTGAATGAAGGACACCTGGCTGCTGACGTCATTTCCATCTGTTTCAAAATACATTTGTGTATTTAATTCATGCATAATTTGAGGACATTTTCAAATACAATTTTCTGAATAAAACAATGAGATGGTATCAATTTATATGATGTAATTAAAGCAACTTCTTCAGGCTAATAAAAAAATAATGACTACATCAGTCAATCAATAACCAGAATATTATTTTGCATTATCACATTAAGTGTACTTGCACAATGACGATTCCATCTGAATTACCGGTATGATGTAACACACTTCTAGGAGCCATTCTTATGTACATTTCTGTAAATGCAGCACTTCTTGAGCAAGGAGGAGCAGCATACCGAGTAACTGTGAAATGTTACGGCTTGTAGCATTCCACTGTAAAGTCACACACACCAAAAGCATGCATGCACCCACGTGCACACATACACACATCCTGCCTGGTCCCCCTCCTTAAATGCTACATAGCTCCTATAAAGAGTGCAGAAGAGGACATGCAAGACTGCTCTCTCCTCCTGTTACACCACACATCAAGTGACACTCGGTACACTCTTTGATCATCACCATGACCTCATCTGTAAATTTGGGTAGAAGGTTCTGCACCATCCTCGTCAATGTCTCCTGCTCCTACCTGAAATCTTTCGTCTGCGAATTCCTGTCTGAAATTTTAACCGCATCCAGCCCATAGAACCACATACTGATCGCTATAAGAACAGCCCAAATTCAACCACTGAAAAATTATCAACAACTCGTAGTTATCCTGTGTGTTTACTCCCTGTCAATCTCACTTTGTGACTTTTGTATTGAAACTGTGCTGAAATTCTTTGTTAAATGATCCTTTACACCTTGTCATTATATATTATATATGTACACTCGCTCCGGAAAGTATCGTTAAGGAGGGGTCCAAGGAATTTTAAAATGAACACCGCAACTCCTGTTGTCTTGGTAAGGTTGTCAAAATATTGAACTTCATTCGTTGTTGTCATATTGTCTCACACAAAGTTTGTAAATATACTTTTTAGAGCAAGTGTACCACTTATGTCACTTGTATATCATTTGTCAGTTCAATGACTCACTCTCCAATTATGTAACCTATATCAACTCTGTTTACTGTATATTTTCAGCATTTTGGCTGCCATGTTCTCTCAATAACTGTTAATTACTGTATTAATATTATTATTGCACACACACACACACACACACCTCCTCCGCCGACTCAAGTCCCTCGGAGTTCCTGCACCTGAGCTCATCAGTGTTTACTGAACATTCATACTTCCCAAGCTCACCTATGCCTCCCCTACATGGTCTTCTTCCCTAAATGCCACACAACGTAAACACCTAGAAAAAGTGCAAAAGAAGGCATGCAAGATTATTCTCTCCCCTTCCTACTCCACATATCATGAAGCGCTCAACACACTGACCCTCTCGGCTCTCTCTGACCATCACCACGACCTCATCTGCAAATTTGGTGAGAAGCTTCTGCACCATGCTCGACACCGACTCCTACTACCACCCGAGATCCCTCGTCCGAGAATTGCTGTTCGACACCACAACCGCATCCAGCCCATACGAGCATGTCTGATCACTATAACAACAGCCCAGTCCCAGCCATTGTAAAAATTATCAATAACTTTTAATCAACCAGTTAATTCACTTCCAGTCAATCTTACCTTTATGCACTGTCACTATGTTGAAATGCCCTGTAGTATGAGCTTCTCCCCACCGAGTCATATTTGTATCACTTATGTTACTTGTATATTATTTGTAAATCAAGAGACCCATTCCCCAATTATATAACTGTATATTTTCAGCCTTCCGGCTGCCATGCTCTTTCAATAAACCGTTAATTATTATTATTACACACACACACTTGCCTAATTATCTGTCACTATCACAAACATATGTCTCCTCTTGGTGAGCTCTGCACACCTCCCCTCAATCCCCACCAAGAAACCAGTGTAAAGATTGTTGATGAACTCACTGCTGTTGTAAGAGTGACAATTTCAATTTGGAAAAGAATGGAAAAAAGCAGCAGAGAACACATTTCACAAGAGAAACCAAGGCTTAGGCCACCACTGGCCTCTTCACACTGAATTGTGAAGTTCTCAACCTCTTGTATGAGTGAACCTTTGCCAACCATATGGAACTGACGATCACACTAACTACATACGTATACAAGTGAGGTCCTGCTCAGTGAGGGTTGGGCAGCCCACACCAACCCCTACAGACCTACGTGTATGATTACTGAAGGAGAGTGTTATAGTGCTACTGAATTCCACCTACCAAGAAGTGCTCACAGCTGTTAAACTATCCTTACTAACACCACCAGTCATTTTAAAATGGATCATTCTCAGCCATTTGCAGCTGGGCTAAGACCAGCCTCTTTCCAACCAATAATTAATTTGAAAGTCTACTCCATGTTTTCCTCCTCCTCCTCTTTTTTTTTGTGTTAAAAACTTTTGTTAAGCAACCCGCCTTCCCTATCACCATCTGCAGAGCCGTCCCTAGTGAGTGCAGGGTCCAGGGCAATACATCCACTACGGTGCCCCTTTGCATTCTTGATATATATACAGTGGTCCCTCAGTTCACGAATGCTTCGGTTCACGAAATTTCGGTTAACGAATTACCTTCCATAAGAATATTCAATTCGGTTAACAAAAAAAATTCGGTTAACGAATTCCTTACGAATTTTTCCCAACATGTTTTCGCGTGCTCATCAGCTGTAGTATTAGTCCGCCAATACAGTAATCGGTTCTAGGGCTTAAATTCAAGAAGGTTGTACTATTCAATAATTTTAAAAGTTTTATATTAATTTTTTTAGTCATTTTAACAATTATTGAACATAATTGAAGTACAGGAAACTAGTTTTTAGCGCGCCAAACAGCCACTCAACACACCAAGCTTGGCGTCAGTTTGTGTATCTGTTCAGTGGAGGGAATATCTTGTTTGAAACTCTCTTAAACATTAACTATTTTTCCATTTTTGCAGTCAAATTATTGGAAATTTTGAAATATATTTTACAGATTGATAATATATAGCGCAGTGCAGTGTTGATTTAAAGAAAATATTCTTTATTTACAGCAATAAAACTTAAAATTTCAGTGTTGAAATTGAATCCAGCATGGCTCCAAAGAAATCGAGAAAAGTTATTTCAATCCAGGTAAAACAGGAAATAATAAAGAAACATGAACAGGGCATTAGAACAAATGTGCTTAGTAAAGACTATGGCATGTTGGCATCAACTGTGTCGACAATTCTTGCACAGAAAGACAAGTTCAAGGAAGTGAAAGTGAGAGACAAATCTACCAGACTGTTTATAGGTAGATCATTGATAGCAGAAACAGAGAGGTTACTTCTCATTTGGATCAGGGAAAAACAAATGAAAGGTGATTCAGTTTTGACAGAATTTATTTGTGAAAGAGTCAGGGAGATTTACGAACATTTAAAGGAGGATCAACCTGGTTTTTCTGGCACAGAGTTCGAAGATTTTCGGGCAAGCAAGGGCTGGTTTAAAAAATTTAAGAAAAGAAGTGACATTTTCAGTGTTATTAGGCATGGTGAGGCTGCCAGTGCTGATAAAGAAGGAGCAGCAAAGTTTGTAGTGGAGTTTAAGAAACTGGTGGATGAAGAAAATTATCTTCCACAGCAAGTGTTCAATGTGGACAAAACTGGGCTGTTCTGGAAGAAAATGCCCAAAAGGACATTCATCACCAGAGATGAAGCCTCTTTACCTGGGCATAAGCCCATGAAAGACCGTCTCACTCTATTGCTTGGTGCCAATGCTTCAGGGGATTTCTGACTGAAGCCTATGCTTGTCTACCACTCTGAAAACCCCAGGGTGTTCAAGCAACAAAAGGTGGTAAGAGGACAACTTGGAGTTTATTGGAAGTCCAACCGTAAGGCATGGGTGACAAGACAGCTCTTTAATGTATGGGCTGTTGAGGTGTTTTGCCCTTCTGTGAAGAGCTACCTAACCACCGATAAACTCCCTTTGGAGGCTCAATTTGACTTTGTCAAAGTGTTGTTTTTGCCTCCCAACACTAAATCAATCATGCAGCCAATGGACCAGAATGTGATCAGCAACTTCAAGAAGTTGTACATGAAGAAAATGTTCAGGAGGTGTTATCAGGCAACTTCCACTGACTCTGAACTAAAACTGGTACAGTTCTGGAAGACACAATTTAACATCCTGGAGGCTGTAAAATAGATTGTGTCCTCATGGCTAGATGTCTCCATTAGATCCCTCATTTCTGCATGGAGAGCACTGTGGCCTTCAGCAGTTCATGATTTTGAAGGATTTGAGGAAGAAGCAGAATTGAACAAGGAGACTGTGTCCATTGGTCAGTCATTGGGCCTCGAAGTGGAGGAGGATGATGTAGAAGAGCTTGTGATGTCTCATGAGCAGGAACCTACTCCTGATGACTTGCAGCAACTGGATGAGATGTTAGAAGCTGACAGTGGTGAGGAGGAAACGGAAAGTGATGACCATATGTCTACTTCAGATTTGAAAGATGTTGTTGACCACTGGGAGAAGTTCAGGAAACTGGCTTCAAGGCACCCAGATGTGGAAACAACAGAACCTATTTTGTGTAATGTTGTGGACAGAGTGGTCTCCTTCAAAAATCAGTTAATGATGAGGAGGAGAAATGCCCCACAAACAAAAATTGACAGTTTCTTCACTAAAGGGCATCGGGAATAAGACGCTAACCTTCAGCCTTCCACTTCAAGAAGGAGAGAGGATGTTCCTGGTGGAGATTCTGTCAGTCCAGAGGTTCCTGACATTTTCATGGAAGGTGACTCACCTTCCAAGAAGCAGTAAAATGCTTCTCCTCCACTTCCACTTCCTTCTCTTCTCCCTTCTCCTCCTCCACCTCCCACTTCAAATTCACATCAGCATCATCATCCAGGAGCCTTCTACACACACACCTCATACTATTACTATGCCAAGTGTTATGTAATTTACTATGATATCACATCTTTCATATAGTTTCCCATTTGACAATCTTCGCCTGTAAAAGTCTTCTGAAAAGTGTCGGTTTTCACCATTTTTGGGAAACACATAATTTTCAAGAGATATCTTAACAGGTCCCTTTTCTACCAAAATATCAATTGTCGTAGTGTCCAGTAAATGTGGCCAGTTGGCTGGATCACATAGATCTTCATCATCATGACCGTTAGCATAGGTAGAGCTGTCCATTTTAAAAGCCTTAGTATTTTTTTCAGTACTCTCCTCTTCCTCAGCTTGAACATGACCCACACTATCACCATCACAGTCGCTCAGGTCCTTTTATGCACTAGTTTCTGAAAACACATATTTTTCTAGGGAACCTTTCATTGACATTTCGATTTCTTCTCTCTTCCCATTTTCTGCCTTTTCTCTGCACCCAAGATGTATGTTCTGTCTCTATCTCTATCCCTGCTGGCCATGGTTTAATAAAAAAACGAGGGCTGTGTACAGGCATCCCCCGCGTTACGGAAGGGTTCCGTTCCCGGAAAATTGACCGTATCGCGAAATTCCGTAACGCGAAACCTATTTTCCCATTGACCTCCATTATAAAACTGGAGATGCGTTCCTAAGGAATTTTTTCGGCCCCCAAAAAGTAATTCAAGCACTTTTATTAATGAAAATAAACATTTATAAACACATACAATACAGTACATTAAATAATTTATGATATACCTTCTTAAAACACCAATTTAGGGGTTAATATTGCATAATATTGCATTATACAGCTATGTGTATGTTTCTTTGAGTGCCCCATCATAGGAGTCCGTTTTCTCTTAATCTTAAGAGTGCACCAGGGACTACTGTATTATTTTTTAGTGGTGACACAGAATTTGATATTGCAACTGGGGTTGCAATTGTTGAGGCAACTTAGGTATGTTTGATTACAGTTGGAATGTTCGAGATCCATTGTGAGTGATGTTTAAAGCTTCAACTGTCTTTATAGTTGGTAAAACTTGACAAGTCTGTCAGTCTGAATGGCATGTGTGAGGCCTTGTGTTTGTACAACCGCTAAATATATAATGTTATGGTAGTTATCAGAAACACACATAGGCATGACGAGGTTTATTACAAAGTGATGAAAAGGATACTGTGCAGTGGGTAGTCCACAAAACATGTGCTAGCCATGTCTCTTTATTTGAGTGCCGCGTCATAAGAGTCCGTTTTCTCTCACTTCAAGGCCGCCTGAGTCGTCCGTTTTCTCTTAATCTTAAGAGTGCACCAGGGACTACTGTATTATTTTTTGTGGTGAGACACAATTTGATATTGCAACTGGGGTTGCAATTGTTGAGGCAACTTAGATATGTCTGATTACAGTTGGAATATTCAAGATCCATTGTGAGTGATGTTTAAAGCTTCAACTGTCTTTATAGTTGGTAAAACTTGACAAGTCTGTCAGTCTGAATGGCATGTGTGAGGCCTTGTGTTTGTTAAAATTTACCCCAATTTCCGTAAGGGCAGATTTACGGGCCGTAACGCGAAATTATTGGTCATAATTTACAAATTCCGTAAGAGCGAAATTCCGTAACCCGGGCTTCCGTAACGCGGGGGATGCCTGTACTACAGTAAAATAATGTATATCAACAATTTCACAAAACACAAATCACAGACAACTGGAGATTTAGAGTTTAGACAACATTAACAGGTGACCGCTGTCAACCTCCTCACTCCTCTTTGACAGAGAGCACAGTAAAGAATGACATTGTTCTCGGTCCGGGTGGTAAGATGGGGTGGCTTAATCTTACCTTTGACCTCATGTCAGCAGATGCATTGCCTAACTGTGCTGGCCACTAATCCTTCAGGTGGTCTCCTGAATCTGGGTGGTAAGGTGAGGTCAGCTTAACGCAGTCACTAATTCTGGTGTTGAGTGAGGTAAGGGCCGTGAGGCACCCACTAGAGCGGCCCGGGGTGGTCGCACCGGTTGCCATACCCAAGGGATGGCTCTGACCATATGTAATTTCTGTCATTTATATTCACTGTGTATTTTCCGACTTTATGCCATTTTCTCTCAAAAACCATTAATTATTATCATTATTACCACCCACCAACCCAGTTCTTCATATATAACACTTTGAAAGATAAGAACAAAATCAAACTACTGTACTGTACTAAACCCTTCATAGGTCCTCTTCTTCGCTCATTTAATCACCACAAAAATGTTATCTCACAATTTTTTTGTAACTATTTCATCCATATAAACAAACTGTATGGTTTAAAGTATAATATGTTTATACAGACACACCGAACATATATTTCATGTTGAGCACATCAATCTAGCTCAGCATGTCTTGGGTTCAAGTGTAATGAAAGAAGAACTTACAGGTATAGTGTACATAAGGCTGTAAAATGGTGAGGATGATGATGAAGGCAGGTCAGGTTATGTCAGATTAGGTTCACTATACAGTACTGTACAGATGTTGACTGTTATACGATGGGGTTAGAGACTCTGACAAGCCATTGTAAGGTGATAAATCGTAAATCAATATTAACAAGTAATGGGAAAATAATTCCGTTCCTGAGACCCTGAAGAGCCAAAGTTAGTCATAGCGGTTATTTTCCCACTTGTAACTCTTGGTAGACGTACAGAATTTTTTATTTATTAATTTTTTACTTTGTTACATGCTCACACAATCTTTCATACAGAATGTGCTCAAAAAAGTCATCATAAGGTCAAGAACATGAAGGGAATAAAAATTTCTTATGTGCGGGAATTAACACAGACAGCGGAGGAGGGGAGGAGTGGCATGGGGGATTACTGTTTTGTGTCCCAGGTGGAGTGAAATGAATGTCATATGGCAATGCAGTATTTTTCTTTTATTTATCATTATTATTTTCATTTATTCCTCATATTATTGATACAGTATTTATTATTTTATACAAAGAATAGCTTCTTCCACAGAGCCTCCCACACATCACGAGTGAAGCGCAGGTGTTACACCATTCCGAGATTGCATCACCATAACTCGGAAAATTGCGAGTTAATGCACATCCCTTTTTTATGGCAGTGACAATGCAGGAAAAGCATTCGAGTAGCCATCAGGTAATGGCCATTGTAAATCTGATCTTAGCCATTGCAAAACGGTATTTGGTGTTAATATCTGAACATCCTAAAACTGATCAATAATATGCCAATCAATCACATGACGGTCAACAGCTGTACAGTACACACAAAGGTCTTTCTTGCCTGTCTGACTGGAGGGTGAGGAGTTCTGCCTATCTACCAGCTGTTGTTGTTGTTGCCATCGTAAGAGGTGGTGTCTCTTGGGTCGCCCTGGCCTGCTAGCTGCCAGTTGCTCACTCAGGGGTGGACTAGATGGTGGAGCAGGTTCTGGGGAGCCTTCTCTTGGTAACTGCTGCTCTTCTTCTTGACCCTATATGTATATAAACAACAGGTCAAGTTACCATTATACAGTATGAGTGAGAATTAACCGACACATTTTAAACTACCGGGTATGTAAAATTCTGCAATTATTATCATACACCATTCACAACATACATAATACATAATACACAACATACATAATAAACAACATACATTATACATAATCCACAACATACATAATATACATCATACATAATACACAACATACATAATAAACAACATACATTATACATAACACACAACATACATAATATACATCATACATAATACACAACATACATAATATACATCATACATAATACACAACATACATAATACACAACATACATAATACACAACATACATAATACACAACATACATAACACACAACATACATATTACACAACATACATAATATACATCATACATAATACACAACATACATAATACACAACATACATAATACACAACATACATAATACACAACATACATAATACACAACATACATAACACACAACATACATAACACACAACATACATACATAACACACAACATACATAACACACAACATACATAATACACAACATACATAACACACAACATACATAACACACAACATACATACATAACACACAACATACATAATACACAACATACATAACACACAACATACATAACACACAACATACATAACACACAACATACATAATACACAACATACATAACACACAACATACATAATACACAACATACATAATACACACCATACATAATACACAACATACATAACACACAACATACATAATACACAACATACATAATACACACCATACATAATACACAACATACATAACACACACCATACATAACACACAACATACATAACACACAACATACATAACACACAACATACATAATACACAACATACATAACACACACCATACATAACACACAACATACATAACACACAACATACATGACACACACCATACATAATACACAACATACATAACACACAACATACATAACACACAACATACATAATACACACCATACATAACACACAACATACATAACACACAACATACATGACACACACCATACATAATACACAACATACATAACACACAACATACATAACACACAGCATACATAACACACAACATACATAACAATACATACCACAACATACATAATACACACAACATACATAACACACAACATACATAATACACAACATACATAATAATAATAACATACATAATAACATACATAACACACAACATACATAACACACAAATATACATAACAATAATAAACATACATAATACACAACATACATAACACACACCATACTAATACACAACATACATAACACACAACATACATAACACAAAACATACATAACACACACCATACATAACACACACCATACATAACACACACCATACATAATACAACATACATAACAATAAAACATACATAACACACAACATACATAACAACAAACATACATAACAATAACAACATACATAACACACAACATACATAACACACAACATACATAACACACAACATACATAATAATACACAATAATATAACATACATAACACACAACATACATAACACAAATATACATAACACACACCATACATAACACACACACAACATACATAACACACAACATACATAACACACACCATACATAACACACACCATACACAACACAATCATCACATAACACACCATACATAAACACACAAACATATAATACACACACCACAATATAATAACACCATACATAAACACACACCATACATAACACACAACATACATAACACACAACATACATAACACACCATACAACACAACCATACATAACAACAATAATACATAACAACAAATATACATAACACACACCATACATAACACACAAAATACATAACACACACCATACATAACACACAAATACATAAAACAAAAAACATACATAACACACAACATACATAACACACACCATACATAACAAACAACATACATAACACACACCATACATAATACACAACATACATAACACACAACATACATAACACAACATACATAACAAAATAACATACATAACACACAACATACATAACACACAACATACATAACACACAACATACATAACACACAAACATACATAACACACACCATACATAACACACACCATACATAACACACAAATATCACATAACACACAACATACATAACAACAAACATACATAACACACAAACATACATAACACACAACTACACATAACACACACATACATAACACACACACCATACATAATACACAACATACATAACACACAACATACAATACACCATACACAATATACATAACACACAACATACATAACAATAATAACATACACAAACAACATACATAACACACAACATACATAACACAATACCATAACACACACCATACATAACACACAACATACATAACACACAACATACATAACACACAAACATACATAACAAACATACATAACACACAACATACATAAAACACACCACATAACACACAACACATAACACACACCACATAACACACACCATACATAACACACAACATACATAACACACAACATACATAACACACACCATACATAACACACAACACACATAACACACACAACATACATAATACACACACCATACATAACACACAACATACATAACAAACACATATAACACACAACATACATAACACACAACATACATAACACACACCATACATAACACACAACATACATAACACACAACAACATACATAACACACAACCATACATAACACACACCATACATAACACACAACATACATAACACACAACATACATAACACACAACATACATAACACACACCATACATAACACACAACATACATAATAATAAACACATACATAACACACACCATACATAACACACAACATACATAAAAAACATACATAACACACAAACATACATAACACACAACATACATAACACACACAACATACATAACACAACATACATAAAAATACAACATACATAACACACACCATACATAATACACAACATACATAACACACAACATATACATACACAACATACATACACACAATAACACACACCATACATAACACACACCATACATAAACACAATACATAAATAAAACATACATAACACACACACCATACATAATACACAAAACAAATACACAACATACATAACACACAACATACATAACACACACCACATAACACAACATACATACACACACATACATACACAACATACATAACACACAACATACATAACACACACCATACATAACAACAACATACATAACACAAACATACATAATAATAATAAATCATACATAACACACAACATACATAACACACAATCATACATAATACACAACATACATAACACACAACATACATAACAATAATAACATACATAACACACAACATACAACACACACAACATACATAACACACAACATACATAACACACACCATACATAACACACAACATACATAACACACAACATACATAACACACAACACATCATAACACAACATACATAACACACACCATACATAACACACAACATACATAACACACAACATACATAACACACACCATACATAACACACAACATACATAACACACACCACATAACACACACCATACATAACACACAACATACATAACACACACCATACATAACACAACATACATAACACACAACATACATAACACACACCATACATAACACACAACATACATAAAACACAACATACATAACAATAATAACATACATAATAACACATACAACAACACACCATACATAACACACACCATATAATAATAACACCATACATAACACACAACATACATAACACACACCATACATAATAAACAACATACATAATACACAACATACATAACACACAACATACATAACACACACCATACATAACACACAACATACATAACACAACATACATAACACAACATACAACACACAACATACATAACACACAACATACATACACACAAACAAAACATAACACAAAAACATACATAACACACACAACATACATACAACACACAACATACATAACACACAACATACACACACAACATACACAACACACAACACATACACACAACACACACACCACATACACACAAACATACATAACACACAACATACATAAAACAACATACATAATACACACACCATATACATAACACACAACATATACACACAACATACATACACACAACATACACACACACAACACATAACACAACATACATAAATACAAACACATACACACAACACACATACACACACAACATACATACACACAAATACATAACACACAAACATACATAACACAAACATACATCAACACACACAAACATACATAACACACAACATACATAACACACAAACATACATAACACACAAACATACATAACACACACACAACATACATAACACATACAACATACATAACAAAATAAACATACATAACACACAACATACACAACAACACACAACATACATAACACAATAAACATACATACAACAATAAACATACACAACACACAACATACACACACAACATACATAACACACAACATACATACACATACACACACACAAACATACATAACACACAAACATACACACACAACATACATAAATAAACAAACATACACACACAACAACATACATAACACACAAACATACATAACACACAAACATACATACAACCAACACACAATAACCATACATAACACACACAAACATACACAACACACAAACATACACAACACACAAACATACACAACACACAACATACACAACACACAACTACAATAACAAAATAACACACATAACACACAAACACACATAACACACACAAATATACATAACACACACCACATACCACCACATAACACACACATACAACACACACAACATACATAACAAACACACAACACACAAACACACATAACACACAAACATACATAACACACACATACATAACACACACCATACATAACACACACACCATACACACAACACAATAACCATACACAACACACACCATACACAAACACACACAACCATACACACACACACACAACACAACTACACACAACATACACAACACACAACACATAACACAACATACACACACACACAACACAACACACATACATAAACACACCCATACATAACACAACATACACAACACAATAACCATACAACACACAACCATACACAACACACAACACACATACAACACAACATACAACACACACACACAACACACACCATACATAACACACACCATACACATAACACACACCATACATAACACACACCATACATACACAACATACACAACACACAAACATACATAACACACAACTACAACACACACAACCACAACACACAACCACAACACACAACACACAACACAACCATACATAACACAATATACATAACACACAAACATACATAACACACACAATCACATACATAACACACACCATACATAACACACACAACATACATAAATAATAACATACATAACACACAACATACATAAATAATAATAACATACATAACACAATAAACATATAATACACAACATACATAACACACAAATATACATACACATACACACACCATACATAACACACAACATACACACACAACATATACACACACCATACATAACACACAAACATACATAACACACACCATACACAACACACAACCACACATAACACACAACCATACACAACACAACAACTACACACAACACACAACCATACACAACAACATACACAACACAACAAACACACACAACACAACAAACATACACAATACACACATACATAACACACACATACACAACACACAACACACATAACACACAAACATACATAACACAAAAACATACATAACACACAACACAACATAACACACAACATACACAACAATAATAACATACATAACACACAAATACATACATAACACACAACATACATAACACACAAACATACATAATACAACACATAACACACATACATAACACACAAACATACATAACAATACAACATACATAACACACAAATATACATAACACACAACATACATAATAATAACAACATACATAACACACACCATACACATACACACAACATACATAACACACAACATACATAACACACAACATACATAATACAACATACATAACACACACCATACATAACACACAAATATACATAACACACACAACATACATAATACACAAATATACATAACACACACCATACATAACACACTACATACATAAATACAAACATACATAATAAACAAATACACATAAACACACAACATACATAACACACAACATACATAACACAACATACATAACACACACCATACATAACACACAACATACATAACACACATCATACATAACACACACCATACATAACACACAACATACATAACACACAACATACATAACACACACCATACATAACACACAACATACATAATACACAACATACATAACACACAACATACATAATACACAACATACATAACACACATCATACATAACACACACCATACATAACACACAACATACATAACACACAACATACATAACACACAACATACATAACACACAACATACATAACACACAACATACATAACACACAACATACATAATGCACAACATACATAACACACAACATACATAACACACAACATACATAACACACAACATACATAACACACAACATACATAATACACAACATACATAATACACAACATACATAATATACACAGTGGAGGTACACACACTGTTTAAGACCACTGTGTGCCAGTTCTCCACCACCCTTTACTTACACTTCTTTTTATTAAAGATAATAGTAATGTGGTGTAAATTTTCCCATTGAGAAAATGCACAGTAAGGGTTTAATAGACCATTAATATGTGCACTGTTAACTCCATTAATGTATGCACTGTTAATTCTTAACTGGTGTATACTTCATAAATGGAAATAAATTCTTTGTCTTATTGTTTGTGTAAATTCTTCCATTCAACAACAATATCAGCAAGAATATATATTTTTGTCACGCACATCTCCATAAGTCAATTTATAATGAATGCCCTGGAACTATACTGTAATTATTCGGGTAAAGCTATTCTTATACAGTACAGTAGTTACTTTCCCATAACTCTACTTATAAAAATTCTAAAACTTTACTTCTACTAAATCCTAATATTAAAGATTAATTTTGAAGTTTTTTTTTAAGCCAAGTAATGCAACTTACTGCACAACTCTTTGTTTTTTCTTGACTAACTTGAGATCAACTTGACTGCTGCACACGGTGTGCAGCAGTCAAGTGTGCAGCACACCCCTGTTACAGCCCTGTAAAATTAAAACCTTTGAATGTCTATTAAGAGGTGCACCAGTCAAATCCTCATTCCTACATCACTTCATGTAAGTCCACATTCTCTTTCTAGGCAGCCTACATACTGTACAATACAGTATACATGAACAACAGGGCAGGGCACTTGAAGTGTGGTGTTCAAAGCAAGAGCTTCCTAGATGGGCATTATGTCTCTTCCATTATAAAGAAAGCAGTACTGTATTGCTAAAAATTTAGTTTTCAAAGGAGCTTCTGGTCTCAAGTTGTTAAATAGTGCATTTTGGGGCAGTCAGCTCCCGGGTTTAAACTTGACAATCACATTTTTAGCTCCGTACCTCTTTTAATGACACAAGACACATCGTACCCTGCTAAGATCTTATATGAAATAAAAATTCAAATGTCACAGCCTAATGAACAATCTGAATTACGTTTACTTGTATACACTGTATGATATATATTACAGTACAGTACCTAACCAATTGTGCTTCAAAACACTGTTCAGATTTATTCAAATTCTTTTTCATCAGTGCTGGGTTAGACTGCGATAAATTAAGTTAGGATAATGCGGCCAGAATGGGTTAGGTTAACGTAAGCGTTGGGTGTATGAAGATTGTACTCTTTCTTACTCACTGCTGTCATCTCTCTCACATAAGATAAACTATAACAGATATGAGTTCACAGTTTCAAAGCCATGCATGTTTTGCATATGAAGTACAGTATAAAATATATTACAAGACTTCAAAAGTACTGTAAAAAAAATAAAGCTTTTCAAATAATGTAAAGATTCTAATCCACAACTAAATATCAAATAGCTACTGTAGTTAGTTAGGTTCACTGTGAGGCACTTCATAAAATGTGTAACTTAAAAGTAAACAAAGGAATTACCAACATAGTGGAATAAATATGCCATAAAATTAGAGTACTGTACCTGATCTCTCCCCGCATCACTAGAAACATATCCCAACAGCCGAGCATCACGTGGAGAGGTGGAGTAAAACTCAAAACTTGATGCCAGTGCCTCATCCACATGTCTGTGTCGTTCCCTGATTGTTTCGTAGGCACTCTCAGAGCCTGAGCTCGTCCACGGCCTTGCTGACCCTCTTCTTACATCTTCCTGAGACTCTGTGTCATTAATGTGATGGTGGTGGTGCTCATGGTCTGACATAGACTCACTAGGGTGACTGTCACGGTCATCCATGTATCCAGGAGGCTGATTGGCTACATGAAGAGTGCCTCGTTTATCCTTGTATAACCTCTCCGACCTTGTTGTGGCAGGCCACCAGTTGACAGAGCCTCTATATCCCTCGCCTAAGTCTTCATCATGCCAACTTGACCGTCGATCCCAAGTTGAGCGATGGCTGACATGTCGAGGGGAACACTCATCAGACGTGGCAATTGCAGACGAGGTTCCCTGACTCTTCCCTACTTGAAGATTAACACCCCAATCCTGAGGTAAAGTTGCTGCAACTGAAGCTGATTCAAAGTCATCCTCTGTCTGGTTCTTTGCTGTGGTGCCCACCTGTTTTGTTGCTGCAGCCTCTACCACTGGACTCATAGAGCCTAAAATTGATCAAAATATTATATCATAAAAAAAGGGAAATAAAACGAATGCAAGTGGAGAGCAAAAAATGCACATACAATTATCATGGGCATTAATATACAGGTGTCTGAACTGAAACAATCCTGGAGAAAAATTAGAGGAAATAAAATTAATAGACAGCTGCAACAGTCATAGACTCATAAATGACCATTATCAATAAAAATAATTTTAGCTTACAGAATCAGTACAGTACCTGTATATGTAACCCAAATGTGAGTCATTAATTACTATGTTCAAATTACCCTCTCTTATATGTAAACAGCATATTGTTATGTAAAAAAACATCATCACCCAATTTCTAGTAATTTTATTTCTACAGTAAATCTCTAAAATAAATATTTAACACGACTGTACTTTGTTACCTTCAGAATTACAGTCAAAGTTGGAGTCATTATCCCCATCTGGGAGGTGGTGGACAGGTGGAGTTGGAGGTGATGTGGAAACCTTTCCCTCTTCCCTCTGCCCCTCAGCCTGGCCACGGGAGACCTCCAGTTCTGACCCAAGAACCAACACCACAGGAGACCTTCTATCGGGTGAGACGGTGTGCTCCCCCTCCACCAATCCTGCATCGTGCTCTGCAAATTTGAAACAAACAATGCATAATTTAACACCTGTATGTAAATGAATAATTCAGACTTGTTGAATAATTTTGATCGTGTGATTATAAACATCTTTGCAAACTGCAGAAAATCATACCATGTGAAACAGCCATGAAGTACGTGCGGGTTGCTGAGGGGGGACGATACGGCACTACATTAATGGTGCTCCCCGGTGTGATGTAGCGCTCCTGTCCACCTGACTGGCCAGAATCTTTTGCTTCCAACATACCTTAATTGTTTCACATATAGATACAGTATTAGACACAGTAAGACAAAACTCACAGCCCCAAACATAACTCTCTCAATAAATTTGGGTATCAGTCGCATGCTGTATAATACAACAATATAATTAGTTTACCAAGATTGTGTAAGCTCAGGAATTCATTACAAGATAATCACAATGTGTGTACTATAAGAATGTGATAAAAGTAAATCATGATATAAGGAGAGGAGGAGGAAAGACTACAAAAGAAATAGAAAATATAAGTGTCCTTAAAAGTATCCCAAGATAACGTACATTTATAAACGATATCGTTCGTATTAAGACAGTGTTACTGTTCACTCATACTGGAATTACTGATACAACAAATGTCAGGCAAAAGTACAGGACAGGATATGGATGAAAATTCAAAGTACATTAGCGGCCACATTATTAATCTTCCAGATTGATCACTGTCCACTCTATCTGCACTCTACAGTAATATATGTTTTTACCATCTGCTATGAGCTTCCAGTGTACAGTTTACCCGCCTACTTGGCGGTTTTCCATAGCGTTTTCGCATATACGTGGTGCCTTGCCAAAGCTGAACTTTCACTTAACGCGGATTTTTTCCACATATACGCGGTGAGTGTCCGAGACGCTATTTTTAGATTTGCCCCACCCGCCACCCTGCCTGACTGCCAGTTTTAGCTCATAAAATTCATACAAATTACCAGGCCAGAATATAATTTACATTGCTGGAATTCTTATAATTTGGTGATCATTTTGAATATAAACATCATATATTTTGCTTTAAACTTACAATTTTTAGATAAAATTTTTTCTCTAGGTAACTATGGTATCTTTTGTGCAAAATATATGACATTTATATTCAAAATATTCCTGGTCTTAAAAGGAATCCAGCAATGTCAATTATATTATCCTAACTTTAGTTTGAGGTATTATTTATTAAAATTTAGTGGTTATCCCACACATCTCCTTAGGACGGTTGGTGGGGGGTGGGGGGGAGGGAGGGACCAACCGACCATCTGTTACCCTGTGAAGAATTATTATTTTTTTTTATTAACTGAAGATATTTGTTTTAGCTCATAAAATTCATACAAATTACCCGGTCAGAATATAATTTACATTGCTGGAATTCTTATAATTTGGTGATCATTTTGAATATAAACATCATAGATTTTGCTTTAAACTTACAATTTTTAGATAAAATTTTTTCTCTAGGTAACTATGGTATCTTTTGTGCAAAATATATGACATTTATATTCAAAATATTCCTGGTCTTACAAGGAATCCAGCAATGTCAATTATATTATCCTACCTTTAATCTGAGGTATTATTTAATACTAAATGTTAAAAACTCTGGAAGGGAGGATTGGTGGGGGGTGGGGGGAGGGTTGGGACTGACCGCGCGGTTGGAAGAGGGGGGGAGGCAAGGTGGGGTACTTTGATTGACAGATAGTGTCGTGAAGATTATTTTTTTTTATTATTAACTGAAGATATTTGTTTTAGCTCATAAAATTCATACAAATTACCCGGTCAGAATATAATTTACATTGCTGGAATTCTTATAATTTGGTGATCATTTTGAATATAAACATCATATATTTTGCTTTAAACTTACAATTTTTAGATAAAATTTTTTCTCTAGGTAACTATGTAATCTTTTGTCCAAAATATATGACATTTATATTCAAAATATTCCTGGTCTTACAAGGAATCCAGCAATGTCAATTATATTTTCCTAACTTTAGTTTGAGGTTATCCCACACATCTCCTTGGGACGGTTGGTGGGGGGTGGGGGGGAGGGAGGGACCGACCGACCATCTGTTAGCCGGCTGTGGTGCATGTCATCATAAAATTAAGATGTTATTTTTACTACAACATAGGTATGTGCCTTCAAAAAGTGGAGTTTGAAGTCGGGCGGTTCTATTAGATTAATCCCATATGTTCTGTTGTTCCTTACTTATGATTTCACTTACTTAGCGGGACCCTCTGGAGTTCAATTGACAGCGTTAAGTGGGAGGTACAACTGTATCTAGAAATAAAAAAAATTAAAACTAATAAAAAAAAATTTTTAAAACCACCATACAAATATTAATTTGTTAAGTCATGCTCAAGTGAAGGAGGCAAGTGGATACACCACTGGTAAGAATGAGCTCCTTAAGTTTCTCATCCAATCAGTGGTGGGACAGGACTCTAGCCATCTGAATTAGTCGTATGCAGTGCAGTACAGTGGTCCCTCGGTTTATGAACGGTTCGATTAACAAAATTTTGGTTTATGAATTACCTCCCCTAAGGATCTTCAATTCGTTAACAAGCAAAACTTCGATTACCCGGTAACGGAATCCTTATGACAAACACGTTTTGATGTGAGCATCAGCTGATCAGCTGATGGGCTAGTCTGCCAATTCAATAATCTGTTCTATGTTTACAGTACATTCATTTCCAGTGGAATAAATATTAAGAAAGTTGTGCTCTTAAATATTTTTGTGTTTCTTATATTAAAATTATTAATCATTTAAAAATTTTGTTAACATATTGATAATATATACAGTACAAGGAACTAGTTTTTTGTGCGCCCATCAGCCGCTTGACTCACCCACCAGGTGTCAGTTTGTCTTTGTTTACAGTAGAGAGAACATCGATTTTGTTGGTGTCTTGAATATTTTTTTCATTTTTACATTAAAATTATTGGTCATTCTGAAATTTAGTTAACATATTGATAATATATAGTGCAGTGTTGATTTAAATAAAATAACCTTGAATTACACCTAATGAACTTAAAATTTTATTGGTGAAATTACTGCATCAAGCATGGGTCCCCTGAAAGGTGATTTCTCCTCCACCCCCACTTCCTTCTCTTCTCCCTTCTCCTCCACCCCCACTTCCTTCTCTTCTCCCTTCTCCTCCACCCCCACTTCTAATTCCCATCATCATCATCATCAACCAGGAACCTTCTACATACACACCTCAAAGTAAGTGTACTTTACTGCATTTTTTTATTACTGTACTTTGTACAGGTTGACAACCCTTTATCCGAAATTCCGAAAATAGAAATGCTCTGCCCACCCGGGCATAGATCACTGACCCACATCAGGGCCTGGGGGGCGAAAATGTAATAGAAATAATAATTATAATAATAATAATAATTATTCATAGTAAATAAAAATTTTAATAAAAATACACCAAAATAAAATAATATGATAACATTAATAATATTAATAATAATATATAATAATAAAATTAATAAAAATAACAATAATACAGGAGTATTGTAATAATAAAATAATAATAATAATAATAAAGAAATACAAGAATGAAAAAAAGATCAAAAGTGAGAAACACGACCTAGACCTATGAATTATTATTATTATTATTATAATTTTTATTATATTTTCGCCCCCCCCCAGGCCCTGATGTGGGTCAGTGATCTATGCCCAGGTGGGCTAAAAATAAAAAAAATCTGAAAACCGAAAAATTCCGAAATCCGAAATTTCTCTGGCCCCAAGGATTTCGGATAAGGGATTGTCAACCTGTATGTAATTTTCAGTGAGCTGGAACCAATTACCCAATATCCCATTGAAACAATGGATTCGGTTAAAAAAAATTTCGGTTAATGAACGACCTTCTGGAACGAATTGTGTTCGTTAACCGAGGGACCACTGTACTGCAACACCAGGACACACAGCATTCCTGATTATTGTTGGCCACAATTATGGAATGCTACCACCATGTCCCTGTAGCACTGTTTTTATGGTTAATACTCTTCAGTGGATAAGCACAAGTGGTCTGCAGCCTCTTCCACAAAACCATATACAGTACAGTACTGTACATACTGTACCTCTAGCTTAACTAACACTGAGATGTACTGTAGGGGATGACAATCACATGGAAGAGCAGAGTGCACATTCATTGAGTGATATCTTCCAAGATGAATACATATAAACCCTCACCTCTTACAAATCAGAGACACCCAAAATAAACTTAATTAAAAAATCAGATTAATCTTACTCAATGTGGAAGTGTAACAGTAGAAATACTGCACAGCAGAGTGTTTCAGTCTAAATACAGTACAGTGGTCCCTCGGTTAACGAACACAATTCGTTCCAGAGGGTCGTTCGTTAACCAAAAATTTTGTTAACCGAATCCATTGTTTCAATGGGATATTGGGTAATTGGTTCCCGCTCACTGAAAATTACATACAAAGTAAAAAAAAAATGCAGTAAAGTACACTTACTTTGAGGTGTGTATGTAGAAGGTTCCTGGTTGATGATGCTGATGGGAATTTGAAGTGGGGGTGGAGGAGGAGAAAGGAGAAGAGAAGGAAGTGGGGGTGGAGGAGAAGCAGTTTACTGCTTCTGGGAAGGTGAGTCACCTTCCATGAAAATGTCAGGAACCTCTGGACTGACAGATTCTCCAGCAGGAACATCCTCTCTCCTTCTTGAAGTGGAAGGCTGAGGGGTAGCATCTTTCTCCCACTGCCTTTTAGAGAAGAAACTGTCAATTTTTGGTTGTGGGGCATTTCTCCTCCTCATCATTAGCTGGTTCTTGAAGGAGACCACTTTGTCCTCAACAGTACACAAAAACGGTTCTGCTGTTTCCACATCAGGGTGCCTTGAAGACAGTTTCCTGAACTTCTCCCAGTGGTCAACAACATCTTTCACATCTGAAGAAGACATATGGTCATCACTTTCCTTTTCCTCCTCACCACTGTCTGTTTCTAGCACCTCATCTAGTTGTTTCAAGTCTTCAGGAGTAAGTTCCTGCTCATGAGACATCACAAGCTCTTCAACATCATCCTCCTCCACCCATTGACTGACCAATGGACACAATATCCTTGTCCAACTCCGTTTCTTCCTCAAATCCCTCAAAATCATGGACTGCAGTTGGCCACAGTGAATTCCATGTAGATCGAATGGAGACTTCTTGCCATGATGACATGATCAATTTTACAGCCTCCAGGATGTTGTATTGCGTCTTCCAGAACTGTGCCAGTGTTAGATCAG